TTGGGTTATAGAGTTGCCTTTGACAGTGGCTCTTGTATGATTCAGGATCTTTCCAGGGGGTTGATGATTGGTCAGGGTGAAGAGATCTCCAATCTTTATATTCTGGATGAAGCATCAATTGGAGAGCTTTCTACAAGAGCATCAAGTTTCTCTGTTAACGTTGTTCTTGACTCTGCCTTGTGGCACAATAGATTAGGGCATCCTTCCATACAAAAGATTGACTCTATATCGTCTGTATTAGGGATTGCTCAAAGGAATAAAACAGACTTTCATTGTGCCATTTGCCCTCTTGCTAAACAGAAACATCTATCTTTTCCATCTCAAAACAATATGAGTTCAAACCCGTTTGATTTACTACATATTGATACTTGGGGACCTTTCTCTGTGACTTCTATTGAAGGGTATAGGTATTTCTTGACCATTGTGGATGATCATACAAGAGTTACATGGATTTACCTTATGCGTACTAAAGATGAGGCTCTCACTGTGTTTCCTGAGTTTCTTAAGATGGTGGAAACACAATACAAAGCAACAGTTAAGGGTGTGAGGTCTGATAATGCACCAGAGTTGAAGTTTGCTGATTTGTACAAGGCCAAAGGGATTACAGCCTTTCACTCATGCCCTGAGACACCAGAGCAGAATTCAGTAGTTGAGAGGAAGCATCAACATATTCTTAATGTTGCTCGTTCCTTAATGTTTCAATCTAAGCTAGCTCTTGAATTTTGGTCAGACTGTGTGCTTACTGCAGTGTTTCTGATTAACAGACTTCCTACACCTCTGCTTCAGGACAAATCCCCATATCAGATGCTTACTTCTAAGCCACCAGATTACACTGGTCTTCGTACTTTTGGTTGTCTCTGCTATGTGTCTACTTCGTCAAAGAACATGCATAAATTTCAACCAAGAGCTAAAGCATCTATATTTCTTGGGTATCCTTCTGGTTACAAAGGATACAAAGTCATGGATTTAGAGACTAATACCATTTCTATATCACGTAATGTGGTATTTCACGAAGATATCTTTCCTTTTCATCAGTCTGAGGATTTGCCTGATATCTTTGGTACTCCTTTGTCTCCTACTATGGCGTCACAGAATGTTGAATCTGGTCTTCCTCCTGAAAATAATAAGGAAACAGAATCTATACCAGTTACAGAAGCTTCTACAAGTGTTCAGGTTGATCATCTTTCTTCTGCTACTGTTGAGAAGAGATCTTCTAAAACACCGGCTTATCTTCAGGATTATTACTGCAGTATCACTGCAACTGATATTCCTTATCCTTTAGCTGCTCATGTGTCCTATGACAAGCTCTCTGAAACTTACAAAAGTTATATATGTTCTGTTCTTCATCATCCAGAACCGACTTCCTTCACTCAAGCTAAGAAGTTTGCTGAATGGATCAAGGCTATGAATGAAGAACTCATTGCTTTAGAAAACACAGATACATGGGAAATTGTTTCACTTCCTGATGGTAAACATGCTATTGGATGTCGTTGGGTTTACAAAGTGAAACTAAATGCAGATGGTTCATTGGAGAGATATAAGGCACGTCTTGTGGCCAAGGGTTATATACAACAGGAGGGGATTGATTTTGTTGATACATTTTCTCCTGTGGCTAAAATGACTACTGTCAAAACATTACTTGCTGTTGCAGCTGTGAAACAATGGAGCTTAACACAGTTGGATATATCAAATGCCTTTCTTAATGGAGATCTTGATGAGGAGATATACATGGCTTTACCTCCGGGATATACTCCAAAAGAAGGTACTGTCTTACCTCCTAATCCGGTTTGTAGACTCAACAAGTCGTTGTATGGTTTACGACAAGCTTCAAGACAATGGTTTCTGAAGTTCAGCTCAACGCTATTGGGTTTGGGATTTCAAAGGTCTCATTCTGATCATACTCTGTTCATTAGTCATGAGAATGGGAGGTATGTTGCTGTTCTTGTGTATGTGGACGACATTATAATTGCCAGTAATGATGATGCAAGTGTTTCTCAATTAAAAGATGATCTCAAGAAGTCTTTTAAATTGAGAGATCTTGGTCCCTTACGGTATTTCTTGGGCTTGGAGATTGCACGATCAAAGGAGGGGATTTCTATTTGTCAACATAAATATGTCTTGGAGTTATTAGAGGAGACAGGTCTTTTAGCCTGCAAGCCATCCTCTATCCCAATGGATCCGAGTATCAAGCTAGCTCAAGATAGTACTGAACCTGCCTTGTCTGATCCTTCTGTGTATCGAAGACTTGTTGGGAAGATGATGTATCTTACCATAACGCGTCCAGATATTACATTTGCAGTAAATAGACTTTGTCAATTTGCTTCTGCTCCTAAACAGTCTCATCTTCAAGCTGCTTATAAAGTATTGCATTACTTGAAAGGCACGCTTGGGAAAGGATTGTTCTACTCTGTGAAGTCTGATCTTGTTTTGAAGTGCTTTACAGATGCTGATTGGTCTTCATGTCCTGACACAAGGAGATCTACTTCGGGGTTTTGTATGTTTCTTGGACCATCACTTATTTCCTGGAAGTCTAAGAAACAAGATACGGTTTCACATTCTTCTGCAGAATCTGAATACCGCGCTATGGAATTTGCTGTGAGAGAAGTAGCTTGGTTGGTGAAACTTCTTGCAGAGTTTCTTGCTCCTCAACATCAAGCTGTTGCTTTCTTTTGTGATTCTACAGCAGCAATTCACATTGCTAATAATGCTGTCTTTCATGAAAGAACAAAGCACTTGGAGAATGATTGTCACATTCTTCGTGAGAAGATATTGAAGGGATTGATCAAGACTTTACATGTTCGGACTGACACACAGCTTGCCGATCTGTTTACTAAGCCTCTATACCCTGCCTTGTTCCTCACTCATGTGCGCAAGATGGCTCTTTCCAATATCTACATGCCATCTTGAGGAGGGGTATTAGATTCAAATAATAAATTGTATAGTCCGGTTAAGTGTAAACCGAGTCTATTAGTTATACGGTTATGTAAACCGAAACACACTCTCTCTCTTTCGTTTATAGGTGAGAGTTGTAACAAACTTTTCCGATTAAGTTGAATGAAACAAACTTTCTATTATGAGGTTTCTTTGGATTTTGCATGAATCGACTTCCGAAGTTCTAAATAATCTACTGATCAAACGCTGTAGGGGCGGACAGATAGCCAGTCCAGGTGCTCGGGAAAGAGCCACTCAAGTGTACGAATCAAATCCCTGCTTTGGAAGCATTCGATCTTTGAAGTCCCATTCGGATTTTACTAATTATTAGATCGAATTCGGTTTGATTCGGTTCGATTCTTTCCGGGTTTGATTTGAATCGAATATAACCAATTTTTAAAATTGTCGAAAATTTTATTTTTTTAAAACTTAAAACTTGTCAAATTTATTTTTCAAAATATATAAATTAGTTAAAAATCTAACTAAAAATTAGTTAAACTATCTAAATAAACTAAAACTATAAAAAAACATATAAAATAAACTACAAAATATTTCGAATACTCTAAATATCTAAATCACCTTAACATATATAAAAATATTAACATATTTAATTTTGGATATCTTCAGATCCTAATTTAGATTTCGGTTCGGTTCGGATTATAACCAAACTCCAAAACTCATAAGTTTCGTTCGGATAATTCTTTATAAAGATTCAGATTCGGTTTCGATTTTTCCGATTCGGATTTAGGTAGATATTTCGGGTTCGGATAAAATGCCCAGACCTATTAAGTGGAATTCATTCAAAATGTCTAGCGTATAAAAATTTGGTTTATTGTTTTTCTCGTAAGGGGGCATTCTGATAGTTAGATTCCAGAACGCCTTTGCTTGACTGAGCATAAATAATATTCAACACCTGAAGATTTTTTTTGTGTTGAATTTAAGATTAAACTAAGTGGACCATACAATTTGCGTCATTGTTTAATAATTTATTTCCTTACTATTTCTCGTCTACAAAATAATCCTTCATTTCTATATCTATTTCTTTTCTTCTATTTTTGTTTGACTATATACTACAACTATTTCGTAACGACTGTTTTCATACAAATTATTGATGGTGCACGTACCAAATGTTTCTGCAATGAACAATGAAACAAATCTTCGGTGAAAAAAAAAACAATTTCTTACCAACAACTAATACATTCGGTCCAATGATCAACGAACATACAGACAAGATTCTATTCTAGCAAAACTAAAAGAATTCAAATATTAATGAAAAACACAAATAAATGACTATATCTCATTTATTTCACGCTTATTTTTTTTCTATAAACACACCAATTACCAAAAAACAAATTTCATTACGTCTGTGAACTAATTTCTTTTATCCGATACCATCCATTTATCATACTAAACCGCTTTCGCCGTTTGTGACGTACTTTCCGCATTGTATTTTTTTGTCAGCATTCTAATTCTTAAAAAGACTAATAAAACTGCTAAATATCTTACAATGTACAATACTTTTTAATAAAGGTGGTGTATATATTTCTGAAAATATCTGATAAACTTGAACAGTACAAAATTTTAATGGTGTTTATATATATAAATGACAATGAAAATTTCAGATGATAATTTTTCTGTAAACATCCGATAAACTGAATGCTACGTAATTTCCCTAAATCAATACATGAAATATTACCATGATTTTATGAAAAAGGACACATTCAAACAGAAAATGGTCCAGAATTTACAATTTATATTAAAGCCAACATATGTATGTATATACATCAATACACGCATGTAACGTAGTATTCCATAACTAAAATCTATAAGAATTGACTTTTGTAAAATATAGTAACCATTCACCAATCCCAATACGAAGGAGTTATATCAAATATGCACGATCAATGTGTGTGTGTGTCAATATGTGTGTGTGTCAATATCTATATGCGCGTTGAGTATAAATACAAAGTCTCATCTAAGCTTTTGTAACTCCAAAAACCATAACCTTTCTCTCTCTGTTTTTTTTTGTCTCTTGTACTAAATATCCAATAGAATTAAAATACTATTCAATGGAGCCACCAAGTCTTCCAATGGCGGCAAAAGACTGGACCACCACCAGTCTCCACCGTGTACTATGTATGCAAGGCGGTGAAGGTGACGTCAGCTACGTCAACAATTCCGATAGCCAAGCTTTGGCTATAACCTTAAGCAAACCAATCCTTATCTCATCTCTCCAATCCATCAAACTCTTCTCCTCTCCGGTCATCAGAATAACCGACCTTGGCTGCGCCACCGGCTCCAACACTTTTGCTACTGTTGATACGGTGGTTGAGACTTTACGGCGGCTATTCACTGCCGTGTACGGTGGTGGATCACCGGAGTTTGAGGCCTTCTTCTGTGATTTACCTAGTAATGACTTCAACATGTTGTTTAGATTATTGTCTGAGAAACAGAAAGTTGATACGCCAAATTATTTCGCCGGCGGCGTCGCTGGCTCCTTCTATGACCGGCTTTTCCCGAGAGGAACGATCCATGTCGCTGTGAGCTTAAGTGCTCTACATTGGCTCTCTCAGGTCAAATGCATTCTATTAATCTTTTATATTATAATGCTTTTATATATTTAAGGTAAGAAATGGAGTTCATGTGTTATATTCACAATTACAGTGAAGAATTTCGATCATGCAAATAAATTCATAAGGGCAATTTGACCTTTATATTTAAAGATTGTATATTCTAAAAATGTTAGAATTGTTAAAAGTATTTTCTTGATTACTTGATTACTCTAGAAAAAAACAAAAGAACATAACACCATGATAACAAGTTTCTAAAATGTGTGTAGTATTTGAGATATGTCTGATGGCTTTACCTATAATATTTGATGAATGAAACTGTGTAATTCATATTAGAATGGAGTAGTTTCAAAACAAGAACATAATTTTTTTTTTTTAAAACAAGAACATAATTAATTAACACTACATCTCAAAACGGTTCTAAAATGTGTGTATTGAGAGATAAGTCGATTTTGATATTGTAGATACCGGGGAAAGTACTGAACAAGGGATCAATAACGTGGAACAAAGGGAAAACGTGGATCGAAGGAGCGAAGAAAGAAGTGGTTGATGCATACGCAGAGCAATCAGACAAAGATTTGGATGATTTCTTGAAGTGTCGGAAAGAAGAAATGGTGGAGGGAGGAGTGTTGTTTGTGTTAATGGGTGGTCGTCCTTCAGGCTCAAGTAGTCAATTTGGTGACCAGGATACTCGAGCAAAACATCCTTTCACAACTACCATGGAACAAGCTTGGCAAGATTTAATAGATGAGGTAAATTTTATTTATATACACACGTGTGGGTGCATAATTTGTTTATATATGCAAATGCATGGTATCTTTCATGTTTCCATTACATAACTATTCAAGATGACGTCTCACTTTTACATCTCTAGTGGACCGTTTCTGGCTTTTGCATTAATTAACTTGGTAATAGGTAATGACGAATTTGTTTTGGCTTTTTTTGCCAAATTAATTTCCTGTAACGCTAATTCGTTGAGTTTTGTTTTTGGGAATATATATATATAATATATATATATTATCTTTTTTTAATATTTCTAAGTTGATAGTTTTGGAGTTTTAAACTGTTTGTTTCACTTCTTTTCCGGCTAAAACATCATTTTCCAGTTTTATATATTTTTATCATCACGTAAATTCACAAAACGCAAAGAAATTAATTTTTTTTCTTTTTACCACCCGTGTCTTTTAAAACCAACGCGTGGTAATTTTCAAATCAGCTAATTTTAGTAATTTTCAAATTGAACGTATTATGTTTGTTTTAATTTAGTTTGCTACAAAACGCTAAACACACATGTTCAAGTAAACTTGAAAACGCAGTTTTCTTTACTATATGTGCTTTCACACATTAGCCATATTTTAGTTGCTGTTGCTAATGATAGCTTAATAATGATAAATTAATACCACTCAGACTAATTAAACGCTTAATATGATTTGTTTGGAGAAAAGGGTTTGATAGATGAAGAGACAAGAGACGGATTCAACATTCCAGCGTACATGAGAAGTCCCGAGGAAGTGGCTGCTGGAATAGAACGCATCGGTGGTTTCAAGATAGAGAAAATGGAATACATGAAAATAGTTGAGCACTCTGATGAGAAACAAGAGGAGTGGAAAAAAGATCCTGTTTCATACGGACGAGCCAGGACCAACTTGGTTCAAGCTGCTATTCGTCCTATGGTCGAGGTCTATCTTGGCCTGGACCTATGCGATGAGCTCTTCAAAAGATATGAAAACCGGGTTTCTACAACTCGAGAATTTCTCCATATAACTTGTTTCTTTGGACTCGTCGCTTTTTCTGCCATTCGAATTTGATGATTATATGTTTTTAGTGTTATATATGAAGTTTGTTTGTTCGTATTATTATTTATCTATCGTTTGTCACCTTTTATTTTTTGAACACAAATATCGTTTGTCACTTGTCAGTAGTTTTAATAGATGAACTAGAGCTTGCCTGTACTTGCTGGATAATGTAGAGTGGAATACGTGTAAATGGAACATGTAGGGCATGGGATTTATAAACCGAATCAGATTACTTAAGTGTTTGGAAAGGTAAAATACATTTTTTAATTAAAATATATATTAACTTAGTCTATTAGAAATTTTTCAAAAAAAAAAAACGTAGTCTATTAGTGTATAATAAAATTACATGCTTAGAAATTTCAATTTTGTTAGATTCGATATGGCTTGATTACACTAAACTTGGCATGTTTTGGTTTTGCGGCATGGTTTTGTTAAGTTACTTAAGTAGTTCCTAGCTCTAGCAGTTTCAAAAAAAAAAAAAAAAAAAGTCCCTAGCTCTAGCTGTTCCTTATCCTAATTCCTAAGTTTAAGATAACAAGGTAGCAAAATAACTAGTAGCTAAGGGGATGATTGGTAAGTGCTTTAGAAGTACTGTAGAAATTTTTTACATCCCAAATTATTCTAAAGCAAAAAAAATTTCTAATCATGCTTTATAAAGATTTTTTAAAGCCACAGATTTTTCTTTCCTTTTTATTTAGTTTTTGGCTGTAGAAAGCACTAAACCTAGAGCATTTATTTTTTACTTTAGAAATTTATATGTAAATGATTAAATCTTTTGAAATCTACAGCCAAAATCTAACAGCTAAATTATGTACAGCCACAGCAAAAAAATCTACAGCTATAATTCTACAGCAAAAAATATAAAGCTACAGTTTATTCCAATCAACCTCTAAATCCCCACTCTTTGATTGTTTATCGAATAAATATTTTTCAGAATACACGTTTACTAAAGTTTTAACAAAGTACGAGAATTATTAAAAATTAGATCAATTTAATAATTATTTACTTCATTTGTATGATATATGATTTTTTATTTCCATTTTAATCAATTTATTTTGTTCACTTTATTATTGAAATGGTGTTTCATGAAATTAAATAGTCTACTAAAGTGTCCTGATTAGGTAACTCCAATGGAATACCAAATCACTAAATTTGGTGTAAATTCATTTCCAATGAGACACTAAAAATGACACAATTCCACTAAATTTGACATAGTGTAAATAATATTACATTAAATTTGGTGTAACACTATTCATCACACCAAATATTTTAGATATATATATATATATATATATATATATATTTTTGATTCATTTACTAACTATTATTATTATTAAATAGTTCAAATGTCTAACTAAACATAAATACATTATACTATTTATATATTTTAAGTTATTTTTACATAATTACAATATTTTTTATTTTATTTTCAAGTAAGAAATCATTAAATAACTATTATCATTTATTTTATATTCTTTTAAAAAACAAAATATCATATAACTTTAATTCAATAACTAATACATAATTAATAGTTTGTAATATAATTAATATTTTATATAAATATCTAAAAAGTATAATTTGTTAAACTAAAAATATAAATGTAAATAATTTTATAAATATAAAGTTACAAAAAATTAACAAACATAATATTTAAGTGTGATAAAATAATTATTTATCAATTATAAATAATAAAAATATAAAATTTTCAAAACTTAAAAACATGAATAACATATAATATTATTTTTGATGTAATATTTGATGTTATAGTTGGAGATGGCAAAAAAAAGTTTTGACACCAAAACATCAAATCTGATGTAATTTCAAAATCAAAATTAGTGCTATGGGTTGACTTGACCTTATAACTCGATGTTCTACATTCTTGTCAAAGGATAGGAGAATGTGGCGACAAATCACTGCATTGAGCTTTATCCCATGTCAGCGACAACCACCAATCGCTCTACATATTCGCCGAAGCTCCACTCTCTCCGACATAAACTGGTTTGTTTCAACTCTAAAAGCCCAAGGAACCAACCTCAAAACATTAAAACAAGCTCACTGTTCCATGATCATAACCGGTTTACACAGAGACAACCTCATCATTTCGAAATTCCTCGAGGCATGTTCCATCACCGGACATCTCCGTTACGCTTACTCTGTCTTTACCCATCAGCCATTCCCCAACACTTATCTTCACAACACCATGATCAGAGCTTTATCACTCGTCGACGAACCCAACGCACACTTAACTGCTCTTCAAGTGTACAGAAAGTTCTGGTCTTTATGTCCGAAACCCGACACGTTTACTTTCCCTTTTGCGTTAAAGATTGTTGTTCGGTTATCTGATGTTTGGTTTGGGAGACAGATTCATTGCCAAATTATGGCTTGTGGGTTTGATTTAAGTGTTCATGTTGTTACAAGTTTGATTCAAATGTACTGTTCATGTGGAGGTTTGGGGGATGCACGTAAGGTGTTCGATGAAATGCCTGTGAGAGACGTGACTGTGTGGAATGCGTTGTTAGCTGGGTATGGAAAAGTGGGTGAGGTTGATGAAGCAATGAGGTTGCTGGAGATGATGCCTTGTTGGGTAAGGAATGTTGTTTCTTGGACTTGTGTGATCTCTGGTTACGCGAAGAAGGGGAAAGCTAGTGAAGCTATTGAAGTGTTTGAGAGGATGCTGATGGAGAATGTTGAGCCTGATGAAGTTACCCTTTTGGCAGCACTCTCAGCTTGTGCTGATCTTGGTTCACTTGAATTAGGAGAAAGAATATGTAGATACATTGATCACCGAGGGATGAAGAGTGGTGTTTCTTTGAACAACGCGCTCATCGATATGTATGCGAAGTCAGGGGATATAGCGAAGGCATTTGAGGTGTTTGAGAGGGTTAGTGAGAGAAACGTGGTTACTTGGACGACTATAATTACAGGACTGTCTACACATGGGCTTGGAGGTGAAGCCTTAACGATGTTTAACCGTATGGTTAAAGCAGGCGTGGAGCCAAACAGTGTTACTTTCATTGCAGTCCTTTCAGCTTGTAGCCATGTCGGTTTGGTTGATCTTGGAAAACGTTTGTTTACCTCAATGAGATCGGTTTACGGGATTGAACCAAACATTGAGCATTTTGGATGCTTGATCCATTTGCTAGGACGAGCAGGTAAACTCAAAGAAGCAGAAGAAGTATCTAAAACCATGCCCTTTGAGGCTAATGCTGCAATATGGGGATCTCTTCTTGCTGCTTCAAATGTTCATCATGATCTTGAGCTTGGAGAAAGAGCTTTGAATCAGTTGATTAAGTTGGAACCTAATAACAGTGGTAACTATATGCTTCTAGGTAATTTATACGCTGATTTAGGAAGGTGGGACGAGTCTAGGATGATGAGGAAGATGATGAAAGGGATTGGTGTGAAGAAGATGGCTGGTGAAAGCTCTATTGAAGTTGAAAACAGAGTATATAGATTCATCTCTGGTGATCACTCACATCTTCATGTTGTAAAGATTCATGAACTTTTACAAGAGATTGACTTGCAAATACAGAACAATGCAATTTAATACAAAAAAAGTATTTGAATTATGATCAGATCGAGTTGATTAAGGATCAAGTAAACCCAGCCACACTTCCTAGGAGCTTTGTAATTTTTGTTATTCAAAAGAAAAAAATAAAGTTATAATTCTTTAACTAACGTTAAAGTGTTGATTTAGTAAATTTTTAATTGGTTAGTAACTATGCAACTTTCAAGATTATTTGAGTGATTATCTTCTGAAATATCAAATTGAATTACTCTGTTTTTCTCAAATTAAAGATAATCGTTTTTACACGTTTAACACAATCTTTTTGTTATTATACGTATGTAACCAATTAGAAGGTAGTTATTCAAAGATTAGCTATAATTTGGTTACATGATAATTAGAAACTTGATTTATAAATTCATATTTTAATTGATAAAAATAATTTTATTCTTGAAAAATAAATCAGAATGATAATTAGATATTTTCTTATTATATGAATCACGTCTTGTTTAGATATCATGTGCTTCTTTTTCGTTTTACTGGTTTGTTCTTATACCTAGCTTAGGGTTTTGATCATTCAACATGCGTCTTTGCTGTTAATCTAAAATCTAGTTTCGTTTTTTTTTGATGTTTTTTTTTCAGGAGATAGGTTTTGTGCGGAAGCTAGCTTTTAATGATGGACAAGATAAGTCAGTTGCCTGATGAGCTTCTACTGAAAATATTGGCAATGCTTCCGACCATGAAAGATGTTGTGGACACTATGCTTTTATCAAAACGATGGCAGTTTCTTTGGAAGATGGTTCCAGTAATCGTATACAATGATAAGCTTGATGGTAGCTATAACAAGTGCAAGTATGGAAGTTTTTCTTTGTTCGTAGAAAAATCTTTTGCTAAGCACGAGGATCCGGTTATAGAAACTTTGCATTTTAAACTTGATCAAATCTCTGGTTGCGGGAATATCCAAGCGTGGATGAGAGCTGCTGATAAACGTTGTGTGCGTGAGCTGATTATCCAGATTGATACTTTTACTAATAAAGATCCAGTCTTACTTCCTTGGAGCTTGTATAGTGGGGGATGTAGAATGCTTGTGACCTTGAATTTAAGCAATGCAGTTCTTGTGGATGATCTTGATTCACCCATTTCTTTCCCATCCCTCAAAACGTTGAGTCTTAAATCCATGAAGTATCCAAGTGGTGAATTTGTCAAGAATCTTTTATCAAACTGCCATGTCCTTGAAGACTTGGTTGTGGAGCAATGTCAAGCTGACAATGTTGACATTTTCACTGTTATCGTGCCTTCTCTAAAGAGTTTAGTAATGAGCACATTAATTAGCAGAACTGGTAACGATACTCAAGGGTTTGTGATAGATGCTCCTTTTTTGGAAAAATTCAACATTTTCCATTCCAGTGGGTTTTGTATCATTGAGAATAATATGACTAAAGTTGTGGATGCAAATCTCGTCATTGATACTTGGAAGTTATGGAAGAAGTTGGGTTCTATTGCTTCG